CGACGATCGGGTTTATCAATACACTGTCCTGCCGTTCGGCCTGTCTCTAGCACCCCGTACTTTCACGAAGTGCATGGACGCGGCTCTCTTTTTTCTAATAATTCTAAAAGGTGTGCACTATTTTTCTAATAATTCAACGGCTGAAAATGTTATTCATTTTCTTATTTTTCATATGATATTAAAACATATCATTAGTATTACATTGTTTAGTATTTGTATGATAGATTTCAATAGATTTTTTTTAATTGATTGATTATGGGGTTATTTATTGAGTATTTATCTGATCAGCGGTAGGTAATTTGATATTGACACTAACTATGAGAATATGTCACTGTAATATTGTCACCGGTGTTACAACTCTTTCTCAATTTGTTCAAAAAAAATAAAAAAATAACAATAATAATCTAAAGTCACGTTGCCCTTTATAACTGATAATAATTACAAGAAACTGCTTTCAAAAATGTACTAAATTCAAACTCAACATTTTGTAAGTTGGAAACTCAACATAAGCTACATGACCTGAACATATTCAGTGAACTCTAAAAAATGCTGGGTTGTTTCAAATATGGACAAACCCAAACGTTGGTTTAATTAACATATAGGTTTAAACTTTTTAATTTAAACCAACGGTTGGTTTTGTCCGTATTTGACCCAAACATGGGTTGAAACAAAACAGTATTTTTTAGAGTGTCTTTGCTAATTTCAGCCAGAAATCTCAAGAAAGTTTTCAATGCCAGGTGTGAGCAACTAGGTGCTATCATTGGCTCTGCATGCTGTCAGATCATCGCAACATGTAGCTATCGCTTCATCTCCCCTAAGGGCTTAGCCTGGCAAATATACCCAATCATTTCCAATGCTGAACTCAGAATAGAAAAATGCTTGAGGCAATAAAGACAAAGTGAATCACAAAGATTAAGGTAATTTTAACAGGTGAATAGCATAACTCATCTAATCTTAAATCGACTTTAATGATAAACAGCAATATTTAAATTTCTTATTTACATTATGCATGAAGTAAGGTGTATTATCATAAAATCGTCAATCTCGCTCATGTATTGTCCCAGTTCCCTTTGCACAAATATGTTTTCATGCATTTCATGTGCACTTCAGATTCTGAATATGAGCAGAAAGCTCATAAAGTCTTGCTTTATTACTCACATTATTATTACCTTCTTTGTCTGCCTGTTGTGACAGTAATGCTGGCCATGACCGTAAGAGTGGACCTCCATTACAGCAAAGAGCAGCAAATAAACACTACATGAAGATACTAAACGCAAGAAAATCATTATGAAAGAGGCCGTCGTCATTCAAACTGTCAGTCTGAATGCTGTTTTATTGGTCCAAAAGATTTGAAGCTAGTGTAAATCTGGAAGCCACTATCAGTTTAATAAAACTGCATAATCATATTATTCTGAACCTGCAGAGATTATGGTCTCATGCCACCATAATCTCTTTTCAAACCATTTTAGACAGTCACTGAATTTCTTTCAAACAGGATTTTGCAGGCATTTTTGAGGTGGTTTCTCACTAAAAGTTATCTCTAAAAGTAAAAAAAAACACTTCATTTTTCAGTCAAAATGGTTTGACCATATTATAAAGATCTCTCATTTTGATCAAACACAGAATGCTTACCACCATTTTGTCATATGATTTGGTATTTCCTGTATACCCACAGTGTTTGCTGTGCAAAACCACCTAATCTCCTATATAAAGATGTGTAGCATGATATTTTATCAATTATATGCAACATAACACTTAATAGGAATAGTTGCAAAAATCTAAGTAGTTTAGCCTTGATTTTTCAGAAGCTCAAAGAAACTGCACACCCAAATTTGGTGAGACACAATGTCGGTAGCAAATGTCACACAACGGAAAGATTCCTTCTTTAATGCAAATTGAAAGGCGAGAAACTAATACTGTAGTTGATTTCTCACAGACCACTGTGCCTGAAAGGGTTCATCTAATTTATATTCTACTCTTTCAATTCTTCTATTTGTCTACATTTCTTTTTCTAGTGGCTTATTCTGTTGAAAAGTATTCTGCTCGCCAGGCTTGAGGGATTTGTCAAAAGAAATGAAAAAGAAAGTGAACAAGCAGGAGAGAAGATTCTCCTGTTAATAGACTCTTCATCAGCACCTGAAATGACCCTTGAAGAGAGTCTTATGTCATGTCATAAAATGCTCTGTCATATTTCAGGCAGACAAATATTTTTTGCCCTGGCCTGATATCTATCAAATTGAACACAGAGTGTGAACCACAACACGAAGTGGTACTCTGAGATCCTGAACTGTTGACCAGTGCAAAGGGAAAGTTTACATGGTATTCAACACAACAACCAAAATTCAAAGCATTTGCGACATAAAGCTGAAAAGTAATCTTTTGATCTAAATCTTTTACTAGTAATTCATAGTGATGTTTTTTATGGAAGTCTGTTTGCCCTAAAAAAACCCCCCAAAACATTACATAAATAAATAAATAAAAAGGTTATTGCAAATTTAGTATAAGTTATTGGGACTTTAAATCTCACAAAAGTTCTTGCAACTTTGACTTTGTTTCTCATAGTTACAAATTTGTTTCTCTGAATTGTGTGTGTACAATAAAATGACAATGTAACTACTGTATCGACTAATCTGACTGCATATCTCAAAATGTGACTTTTAACAAAGTGATATGCAAAATCTCACTCTGTAAAAAATTATATGATCAATAAGTTATGACAACATATGTTTTACATTGCTTTAACTCATCAAAATAAGTAAAGCAAGTTATACAAGAATCTACTCATTTTTTAAAGTCAGTTTAATGTAATTTATGTTGAAATGCAGTATGTGATTTTTTACAGTTTATATCGCACAATTGTGAATTTACGTCTCGTAATTGTGACTTTATAAACCACAATGCAACTTCTTGCAATTGTGACAGTTTCTTTAGTCAGAATGGGACTTAACAAATGCACACAATCTCATTGTAACTTTACATCTCACAATTGTGAATTTGTTTCTTGTAATTGTTACTATAAATCACAATGTAACTTTATATCTTACAACTGAGACTTTTTCAAGTAATATATATATATAGTCATATTGAGATTTTGCGCATTAGTTTATTAAAAGTCATTCTCATATTTGCAGTCAAATTACTTGAAACAAAGTCTCAATTGTAAGATTTAAATTTACACTGTGATTTATAAAGTCACAACTACAATAAATAATTTCAAAATAGTGAGATATAAAGTCATATTGAGATTTTGCACATTAGTTTGTTAAAAGTCAGTCTCAGATATGCAGTCAAATCTCACAATTTTGAATTTAATTTTTATTGTGATTGTTTATAAATCAGTGTAAATTTAAATATTGCAATTGTGACTTTGTTTCTCGTAATTTGAATTCATATCTCAGAATGTGACAAACTAATATGCAAAATCTCAAAGTGGCTTTATATCTCACAATTGTGAATTTGTTATTGTGACTTCATAAATCACATATATGTAACTTCATAAGTCGCAATGTGGCTTTTAACAAATTAATACGCAATTCATTCTTATTGATTTCCCTCGTGTGTGTTTTAGGATTTTACTTTTACTTTAGGTGTATAGAAACATCAGTAATACAATAGTGCTTCCAGTGATATATGAATCCAGGGTTATGCATCACAGCAGTCGGAGAACTAAGGGATCACAATTAATGTTGCCTGATCCTAAATATGGCACACAGGGCTGTTCCACTTCCAGATTGGGAGACATCCCCACCAGGGAGTGGATACGGGCTGAGCGGGTCCGCCAGCTTTACCCTCAATATGTCAGTGTTAGTGCTGCGGTCCACTTGTTCCTCTCACCCTCTGTAGTAAATGAACAGACACAGCCAGTCTAGAATAACGACTCGGGCTGTCACATCAAATCAAAAGATGCCATCTCAATCTGCGAGGGTTGTGAGTGAGACGCAATGAGACGTATCTCAGGCCTCCCTTTTATCAGCAAGGATTTTAGAGGTTTCTTTAGAGAGAAACTATAGCCTTTGGTTCGCTGTAGGAATGACTCTTGCTTTGATAGGAAGAAACAGTAAAATAAAAAAATGGTTTGGAAAAATATGATGGTGAGTAAATGATAATAGAATGTGAACTTTTGGGTGAACTATCCCTTTAAATCAGTCTCCAAACTCATTTTCCCCATTTACGTTGTCATAAAATCAACTGAAGATGTGATAACCATAACAATACATACAATTAAACAACAAAGACATTCAACCATACTTAACTCACCTCTCGGTGAAATTGCATGATCAGCTAATGTTTACACAATCAGCTAATGGAGGCTGTGTCCACATTTCCCAGCAGCAATGTTTATTTATTTTGTATAAAGAAAGAAAGAAAGAAAGAAAATATGCAAAACTAAGTTGCTACTCACAGCAGCAGGCCTTTCAAGACACAAAAATGGTATTATGGCAAGAAAATGGATCTGACAACCCTGTTGAATTCAATATTTCTATAGTGCACATGAGATTTGTCATTCACTGGCTATTTTTTTTCCTTCATATCAGAATAATAATAATAAAAAAAAAAAAAAAAGTTATTCTGGTTGTTCCAGGCTCTGTGAGGCTGTGATAATGGGTTGGATGCAATATTTCTGTCCTCTAATGTCTGTAATGACTGCTGTCAGTGAATTAAACATTACACTTAACTCATGCCAAGGTGACAAATGCCTATAAGGTTTCCATTTCACTGGAAAAAGCGCTTGCTCCTGTTTCTTTTTTTCCTAGAAAGGAAAATGACTAATTTATCTTCACTTCTCCCTTTATTATGTTTGGAATGTGCTAAAAGAAAAATGTAGGCAGAAGAAACTTTTTAAACTTCAACTGTTCTGTATTGGAACATAATAATAATTCATTTAGTGCTGGATTTTCTGAGTTTCATATAAGAGATGGCAATAAAAATAAGCCAATATCAACAGCAAACAGTACAGCACATTGCCAGAATGTATTCGTAATGGAAATATTGATAATTACCTGAGATGATTGACGCCAGGCGAAATGCATCTGAATGTCGATGAGGCGTCATGGGTTCATAAGGAGATGGCTCATAAAAATCCTCACCTAAAAAAAAAGACATAATTATAGACTATTAAAATAACGTTTAGCACTGTACATACCCACACACTACAATGCTACACTGCATTTGTATGCTATACTACATTGTGCCACATTGTTGTCACATGTGCTTATTATATTGTATGTTTATTTCAATGTGTGGCATCCAATTATCATCTGAGAATCCAACTTTGTGTTAAAAAATGCTTTCCGATAAAATAATAAGCCAAAAAAACTATACAATCTCAGCTTATTACTTACAGTTCATTCATCACACTGGAAATGGAATGTCAAGTAGAGCCTTAAGTAGAGTAAATATGCTCTGTTGTATACTGCACATTTTTGGTTTATGATATCAGATCATCTTTAGTGGTAGTACACACTATGGACTTACACTATACTCTATGTACTTTGCCATAGAATGTAAATATACTGGTGTACCAATTGGGGCAATTACATTATTATTATTATTTTTTTTTGCAACACGTAAGCATTTGCTACAAGTACATCATCTAGGTACTCATAGTGCACCAGGCCTTGCTGTGTATTTAAGGCCTTGTCCACATCAATTCGTTTTAGTTTTGAAAACGTATCTTTTTCTCTCCGTTCTGGCCTTCCAGACTGAGACGGCATTTCTGTCCTGACAAAAGTTGAGCTTTCCCAAGTGGATCAATATGAACACGCTGTTTTTTGTTGTGTGGACTATGAAAACGGAGGTATTTGACGCATGTTTAGTTCTGTAATGACAACTCTTGGAGAGATTGACATGGTAATGGATATGGCAATGTTAATGTATTTGGTCTCGGTGGAATAGATCTGCTACGCTTCTGCTCCTGCAAAGCAAGTAACGTGACTTGCTACTGCCAATACATTCACAGACATTGAATGTTAAAATAAGAAGCTTTGTGACTCTTGAACTGAGTTGGGGAGACAGTAAAAACCCTCAACAATGAGTGTGTGAAGATTGTGCCTGTCAAAATTAAAAATTATTTAGCCTTTGCCTGCGGTACTCCCTTCTGAAAGTCTCTCAGGAGCTTTAATCCAGAATTCGAAATTCACAATCATTCCATGTTATTCACACACCTGCATACTAGCAGGGGGCACTCGGATCCTCTTTTCTGTTGGGGAATGCGGATCATTGGAGTATTTAAGCTGTGTCAGTCTCGTTTTATCATACCGCGAGCTTCACTGTCACACAGCAGTTTCTGAGGCGGATGGGCTGCACATGGATGTGTGCACATGTAGAGATGTGATGAAAGATGGCATATGTCTTCAGACGGTCCCTAACTCACATTAGATCACTAACATGGAACAGTGCGTATTAAACATCACTCCACCTGCTGACCGAGTGTCAAGGATTCACTCTGCAGTTAGACAGACAGATAGAAATGAATGAATTATCCTAACTAAAATGAATAGACCAAAACGTCTGGTACAATTAAGTCTGAAAGTAAAATGACTTGATTATACAGTTAAAGACATCTGAAAAGGATTGGAAGGATTGGAAACTTGCACTGCAGATAAACTAGAAATATGAAATATTAAAAGGTCAAATAAAAAAAAAGAAAAGCGTAGATGAAAAAATATATCTGTAAGCAAAGGAAAAATATTTTTAAAAAGGTTGTTTTTACAAAAACACGTCAAGTTTTTAGAAATGTTCTGAATTTTGAAATATTTTCAAAAAGTTAAAATGTTCATTGCACCTCACATTTCTGTATACATATTAATATATATATATTTTAAATATTTAAAATATATTTTTAAAATGTAATATTTTTTATTAAATAGCATTAAAAAAATAGAATTATCTGAAATTTTAAGATACAAGACAAAAAATATTCTGAAATTAAAAACATGTTCACCAAGAGAAGCATTCAAGTCATTGTATGTATGAATTGCAATATATTTTTTAATAAATTAATATATCCTGAGAAAAATACATCATGCCATTGACCTTAAAGCTTAATATACAAGGGTGACTTTTTTTATTTATTTTTTTATACATTTATTAGAATAACTGTATACATGAAACAGTGTCTGCAGGGCCTGTCTCAAAACATTATTTAAAAATGTTATCTGGAGATGGAAAGTCCAGTTAATCCTAGCCAAATTATAATAGACATAAAAGGTCATAAAAAGTCAACAGAGCATAGGTGTGAATGACTGATGACCTTTTAGGATGTGTGTCAGGTACGCTAATAACGATTTTAACATTCCGGAAAACCACCGGAGTAAACAACATCCCAAGGGAATGAAAAATCACAAATGATATCTCTTCAATATCTCAACTGTTTCCCCAATATTGACAATAAGATCAAATGGAGAACAAACTGAGACATCTGCTTTCTTAGATGTTTCCCCTGAAAGCAAAAACAACTGGATGTCGAGATGGTCACATTTGTGTCTATTTCTATTACTCATAAGCAATTTTACGAGCAGCATCAGAGAAAGTTTATACTTCAATGGAACATCCTGAGCTTTGACAAAGCAACCTCTGAGTGATCAGCTTTTCCTTTGGGACTCTGTCTTATTTTTTCTCTTTGTTGTGACTGAATAGTTATGTTTGAACTTGACAACCCAAAGCACAGTATGAAGCTGTTTTAAATAGCACGTACTAAATGCACAGAACATAAGAATTAGCATATGTCCTTTCCCGAGTGACATTTCAATCTGAATAAGAGCTCCATCTTTCAGTCGCTCTCCCTTTGCCGTTCCTTCACCTGCAATCATCGCAATGTGAAGTGAACTCTGATGGTCATTTGGAGAGACAGCCTATTACACGAGTCCACAGGGAGTCTGTCTCTGTTTTTTCCCTCGTGTCTTTCTCCCTCTCGCTCTTTCTTGTGTTCTGTCTCTTTGTCTCTGTTATGTGTCTGTCTCTTTTTGTCAGTAAGCCCAGCTCAGGAGTGCCGAGGTGACAGCTGAACAGACAAATGTTGTCTGACGGCTTTCTACTAGAGCACACTCACCGTCTCACTGTTGCATCATGTGAGAGATGCCAAACGGTTTCCACAGCTGCACGCGGACAGGGTTGGCAGGATTTTAAAATGCATTCCACTACAGGGTTTGAATTTTTTCTTCACCACTGGGTTTTACAATAAGTGGACACAAAAGTGAATGGGGAAAATATAGCACTAGTCTCTCAAGTAGACAAGCTAATCATTAGCTTATTCCCACATAATTTTACAAATCCATATTTGGCCTAGTATCAAATGATTTGATACTAGAAGACATTTATCATAATGTATAATTGTACTTGTAGGTACATGTGCTACATATAGCATTTTAGCTTACCTTACAAAAAAGAAGTTTATTCAAGTGTGCTATTAGTATACTTCTTTCAAAAAAAAAAAAAAAAAAAAAAATCTACTTTTTATGTACTCAGAAATATACTTTATGTACTTCTCAGAAATATACTTAAAAGTAAAATGAAGTATAGCTACTTGACTTATACTGACAGAAGAGTCTAAGTTTATTTGGTATATTTACTTGTACTCAATCTTTTGATCGATATATACTTAAAAGTATAATTAAGTTAAGTTAAGTTTCCTAATGCCGGGTTCAGACTACACAATATCAGCCAGATTTTGACACAATATCAGCCAGATTTTGGCACAATGCTTTTGAAGTAGGGTGCTTTGGTGATTCGAAAAAGGACAATGGGCGTCGGGATGCAAGAATCGAACGTTTCACCTCATATAGTGTGTCATAGTGGACGGCAACCGACGCTGTGTCTGCGACGCTTCACGATGTCACATCAGAAAGACAAGCCTGCTTAAAGGTGCAGTCTGTAAGAATGACAGAAATACTGCAGTCCAAATTCAAAATATCGGAGATCGTTGTTTTCCCCGCCACCTCTTCCTCAGACTCGACGCTCACACGGGTTTCCAGTCTGAGGACACGCAACAGGAACGAGCGCAATTGATAATGAAAGCCAAGGAGACTTATAACGTAAGTCTCCGCGTTTTAATATGCTCTCGTTCATAGAGATTTTTAGATGGATACCGATGCTGGCTTTTTAGGTTGGGTAGAATCTGCAATCTCTGTCCCAGTTTGTTTGCTGACTGCAATACGCTGTGTTTTCAACCAAGTGGCATCCCGGGGTGTCGAAATACTATTGGGTGAACTGGCAGTGGACGAGATCTCACAGACCAAAACAAAAACAGACATTCCAACACGGAACGTACATTTCAAAGTAAAATAACTGGCTGTAGTGTTTTTCAGAGAAACTAGTATGTGAACTCAGTTACTCATATTATGGTAGTTTTATGCTTTAGTAGAGGGAAAAAGTTACATCCAGCACCTTTAATTTTTTTCAGCCCTCCACAAAGGGTTCTGTCATATCTGTGAAGTTGACCAATCGGAGCACAGAACCTCTTCCATACCCAGTTTCAAACTGTACTAACCGATTCTACTTACTGTTTTTTTACTTGAATATATTTTAAAATGTAATTTATTCCTGTGATGGCAAAGCTGAATTTTCAGCAGCCATTACCTCACTTTTTCAGAAATCATTTTTGTTCACGGTCAAAAATCTGTATTTCCTGATGGAGAGAGCGATCTAGTCAGGCCCGGCTGCAGGATGAAATGACTGAGGGGGCATGTGAAAATGTTAAGGGGGCTTAAATTTATACCATCAATGAACAATCAATACACACTTGCTTTGGAACAACAGATGTGACAGATGTGTATCGCTTTTATTTCCTTTTTCCTTTTTTATTCAAAATATTCACAAACTTGCTTACCATGTCATCAACTATCTGACATTCTGATTGTCAAAAATGTGTAAGTGAGTGTGTTTGGTCGTTTAAAACCTTTATAAATAATCTTGATCTTGATCTATAACGTGAGATGGGCGCCACCATGTTTTTTTGCGCCGCAGTTCAAAGAGTCCTGTCAGTCATCAGTTTCTCCCGAAATATATGTAAGAAAGTGGCCGGTGAACAGTGAGAAGAATAGAGTAAACTTTATAGTCACTTCCACTATGTTTGTCTGATATGAATAAC